AAAAAAAAAATCATATATTTGATATAAGACAACTGAAATTCCTATTAGTAATCCTTCAATTTATTTATTCCTTTTCAATGATATATACAACTTGCATTACTCAAACGTCATTCATCTGGTCAAGGTCAATGGTCTCAAACGCTATTGCTTCTAGGAACAATTTTTACACAAGAAAAGAATAGCTCTTATTAATGGTCTGGTGCTAATCATATATGTAATAAAAACGAATATATAATTTGATGTGTTATATTTTTCATTTTAAAAATGTTCAAATATTCAATTATAAATGTACGTATATTGTTCATAATATTAAATTGATGAGTTGAATTATATAAATATTAATTATTGATAAATTACTCATATAGATTTTTACAAAAACAACATCATAGATTAAATGATTTTATTAGTAAGTAGCAGCAACAACAGAACAATAGAAAAGAAATTGAACAATAAACTTGTTTATCAAACGATAGACATAAATGATCTTATCATTCGTCACATCGATTCGTTCTCCTATTCTTCTTTTATTTTTTCTTCTTCATAAAAATGATTACAATCGATCGTATTTCGACTACTGTATGTCACTAAAGAAGTTTTCTAATCTAACTTCTTTTAGTTGTTGTTCTTTTTTTTTTTCTTCTTTCTTCTTCTTCTTCTTCTGTTTCTTTCTGTTTCACTGTTTGAGTACTAGATCGAAAGAGAGAGAAGAAGATAATATTGTTACGAAGAATGATCCCGACAGGCTTCTACGTGTCAACAACAATTGTAGTGGCAGACAGTTACTGCTTACTAGCGGTCTTTTTTTTTCTCTCTTATAATTGACAAAAATGCAAATCAATATTCTATTCTCAAATAAAATAGGCACATCGTAAATGATGGTGATGATGTATTAGATAGAATTCTACTAAGAAACGACTGATGATAGTGATGATGATTTTAACCTTCATCGATAGGATGCCACTTTTTTCTATTATCTGATGATGAAGAACGTGTGTATTGATGCATATATGTGTATGGCTAATCAAGAACACATTTATATATATATATATATATTGCTGATGATATGACCGTATTGATCGATACTATGACAAGTATATAGCAATTGCTCTCTCAGCCTTTCTCTCTGTTTCAAATCAACAGATGCCATTTAGATGAGTGGTTATGACTGTATTTGTATACGCATGTGTATATGATTGGCGCCGTTATTCGTTCTTCCCGTTGTGACAGCAGCTGCCGTATGTGAATGAAATTTTACGAACTATACTTCTTAAACATACATAAAGGTTTCTTTATATTCGTTCTTTTCTTCTATATGTATAAGATCAGATGTGTAGCGATTGTAAAGTATTTGGAGTGGATGTATATATATTGAACGAATAAAAGAAAGAAGATCCTTTTTTTTTTTCTTGTCTCATTTTTTTTTTGAGATGGAGAAAGAGAGAAGGAGAGAGAGAGAGAGAGACAGACAGAGACAGAGACAGAGACAGAGAAAGAGAAAGAGAAAAAAAGCAAGTACAAGATAATGTTTCGTTTCTTATCACTCTTATTCATCTCATCTATTCTTAGTATTCTCTCTCTCTCTTTGTGTCAGGCATACTACGACGCGTGTGTACGCCTTATGTCTTATATCATCTTTGGGACAATTTAGATTGTATACAAAGTGGTAGGAACATAGACAATATTGTCAATTGTGTTGTGGCACCGACCCACTAACAAGAATATGTCATAATGAAAATGGTCTATTTAATAACAATAGACATTATTTGACTTCATAAGGTAAGAAGATTCTTATGAATTTAATCCTAATTGAATGCCAATCATTTGATTTTTGTATTCAACTCTAAAGATATAATTCATCTAATTATATCTATACATTTACTTATAGTCATATCATTTTACATATATCTCCACCTCTTTTAAGTTAATCTTCTTTTCGTTTTTTGAATATAATACTGTGTTTGCATCTCTTTTATTTCTTTTCTTTTCTTTTCATTTTTCTTTTTTTTTCTTTTTTCTTGTATACAGATTTACAACCTGTACCAATATCGGATCACAAATTGAGTATATTTCGATGAATTGTCACATCAATATAATGCTGTTCTATATATATCAACTAGAGAGCAAAAAATTTCATCATCATTATCAAAAATAGGTACCAATAAACTTTCATTCATTTTTATCTAATATCAATAATAATAATGAATGATTATGAAAAACGTTTTCAACGTTCAATACAAAAATTAACTGTACCATCATGGTATACAGATACGAAATCATCATTAAATATAATTAATAATAGTAAACAATCGATTATATCAACAACATCTATACCATGGAAAACATCTTATAAAGAACTTCAACGAACTCCTGAAATACTTTGTATACATGTTCCGCATAGCTATCGTTCATGTCGATCATCAATAGCAACATCACCATCACCATCAATTCATTCTTGGCATCCAAATATTCTATTAGATGGATCTAAACGACAGAAAAAATATGAAAAAGGTGTTGAACGTGTATCAAAATCTAGTCGTTGGTATCAACCAACACAATTTATTGCTAATGAAACAATAAATATTCATACAGGTAAATAAAATATAGATATTCGTTTGAAGCTTAAAAAACAAAAAGAAAATCGATAATCAATCATTGTCATTATTCGATTATAACTAAAGAGAAAAAAGATGAGAGAGAGAGAGAGAGAAGAAAAAAATTTCTTCTGTTTACTTCATGTTCTTTGCATATTATTACAAGGTCATGCTAACTAACTGTATGGTTTCTTCATCAAATTGTCGATTAACAGATCTTTATCGCAGCTTGTACGCATGTTAGATGTATGTGATTGTGTCTCATGTCGACCGCTAGAAGAAAAAAAAAGGAAGAAAGAAAAATTATAGTTTCTCTTCAATCTTTTTTTTTTTTCACTTATGTCTCTTCTTTGTTACGTACAGGGATACGATGTCATATGAGACAATGATGAAAAGTAGGCTGAATCGAAAGGAAAAAAAATGAATTGTATATACGGCTTAATGATGCGATTACAACGGACATTACTTTATCAAATGACAAACGTTGATTTTATATCTTTGATATACAACAAAAAAAAAATCATTTCTGATGGATGTAATTTTATTTCATTACGTAGATTATGCTTGTTGAGAGTAAACGAACAAGATTTCTTTCATCTACAAAATTTCATGACCTTTTTAGTGGCAGCTATCTGTCACATTTGTTGTCTTTGTATAAGTTATCAGTAATCAAAGACAGTCAGGGACAGTCTTTCCGTATGCTTATTTATTTTTTTTTGTTGCTCATCATATATTTCCATTTATCTTTCTCATATAATTATTAGAAGAAAATAATTGATAATAAATGAAAAGATAACGAAATGAATCAGGCAAAAGATTAGACTATTGTTAATTAAAGAAAACAAAAAAACTTTATTCATACTTATTATAAACAATACTATCTTGTCAATCTGTGCCTGTGATATTAATTTAACTAGATGGCTTCATCTCAATGATGAAGCAAACAACCAGCATACGTCGTGCATACTCTTGTATGAATACACAAAAAGAAAAGCTTGCAATATGTGCATCAATTGTGTGTTCTTACATTTTCAAGGACTATCGAACGATGAAAAGAAAGCTTTTTTTTTTACATATATATATATATAGGTAATATAAAAGTATCAACATCAACCAAACATAAACAACCATCGTCTAAAAACAATCATTACGATACACCAAAAATTCATCGTGATGATGAAAGTTTAATATTAAAATCAAATCTTTTGGTAGCTAATGGTGATATTGAAAAAAATATTATCACTGAGCAAACTCAGAATATGATTACAAATGAAAAGGTTAGTGTGGATTCTGTGTATATCGAAAATTTTTTTTTTCTCTATTTCTTTCATACGCATATGAAAAAAAAAGAGAGAGAACAAGATGAAAAGTAGCTTTGCTATTAATTGTTTTTGTCTTCTAGCAACAAGACAATCATATTAAATCAAATGAATCTCAAATAATGCCATTGGCTATGTGAGAAAAATCAATTTTGATTTGTAGTACTGAGTCTTTCTTTTTTTTTTTTTTATTGTTTTATATAGTACAAAAGAACCCTTCAGTCATATTGAATTAGAAGACGTAACTGATGAAGAACATGACAATCGATCATTATCAATGAAAAATAACAATCTTACACCAACTATAACAAATTTATCATTATCTAATGAAAAATCTGATGATAATGAATTATTAGAACGTGTTGCAAATG